AGCAAACACCCCAGCCATCACATTCAAGTAAGCTGTTAGTTTAAATCTTATTTATTGTCCAGTTCGTTTGCATTCAACTTGTGAACTCTTAACAGTCTTATAGTTAGTTGTTAAGAGTTATAAGCATGAGAAATTTCCACTGAGTTTATGTTTGTACTTAGTTAAGTGGTATCAAGTTACTAAAGTGTACGTGGCACTTAAGAATTCAGGGTTGGAATTAAGAGTTCAGGTCCTGGTTTGTTGTATGACTTTCGGCCAGTTAATTATACCCTTTAAGTCTTGATTTCTTCATCTGTAAAATGGGGTGACAAGAGTTCCCATAATTATGTGAAGATTCATTGAGTTACCATGTGAGAGGTGCATATAGTGCCTGGCTCAGAGTGAATGCTCTGTAATTGTTAGGTTTTGACATAAAATAATTTTCTTTTTCTAAAATAAGAGTCCAGAAATATTCAGGCTTGAGAGACTGGGAGTCAGGTAAAAGCTTTTGTGATTTTGAGAGATCTGGGTTCAGTTCTGGCTCAGCCTCTTAGCCAGTCTTGTTACCTCTCAGATGCTCAGTTTCCTAACAATTTCCCAGGGTTGTTGTGAAGACTAATTAATAGTAAATGCTGCCATTTAGGGAGTGACTTCCCTGTGCCAGACACTGTACTGAGCACCTACGTACCTTATCTTTATTCCTGCTTATAGCTTAGTGAAGTGAGGAGTATTATCCTATTCCTGAAGACAGAGGAACTGAGAGAAGGCAGAGCGTGGCTGGGCTCAGGATCTGCCTGCCTCCAAAGCTCACGCGCCCGACCTGAGGTCCCTTTGCAATGCACAAGTGATTCATCCAGTAGATTTCTTCTGTGGCAGGCAGCTGGGAATAGCCACATTAGGAACAAAAGTTGTGATATAAGGGAAAGGGAGGGATCCTTGTAATACTGGAGGGAAACTCTTACTGCGTGTAATGGGTCTCAGAATGCCTTGGGAGAGGGGTGTAGAAAGGAGGACCTGAGGCTGGGTGTTCTGTACACCTGGGGCCAGCCCTGGATATTTGTATACAATTATAAAAAATTAGTTTAATTTAGGATTGTTATTGATACTTTAAAAAGTATTTTAATTCTGGAAATTAAAGGAAAACTGTGTATCTTGTAAGACTTGCCCAGGGGCAGGATCTCTTTCACCTAAATCCCAGTTCTACCATTCAGTTGATGTGTGGTTTTAAGCAAGTCATATTTCATCTCTTTGTCTAGTTTCCCCATTTAAGCTGGTTTATAAATGGGTGAAACAGCCATTACTTACCTCTTCCTAATTTGGTCTCAAATAACCATTTTGGTGTCCTTTCCTACACTTCCCCTGAACCACCCTGAACTTCAGCCACAATGAATTTCTTCCCGTTCCCTAAATCAGTGCTTTGTTGTTTTTGCTGCCTGAATTCTCTTCTCCACTTTCTCTAAAGAAAAACTCCTACTTATCCTTTAAAAACCAAAATATCAGTTCCTCCCAAAAACTTCCCCAGCTTTTCCTGGCCCAATCACTGTCTCACTCCATAGTATACCATGAGCGCGTGACTTCGTCTTTATTTGATGATGAATCACTCCCCTCTTCCCCTTCCACCTACCATATGATTGGGAATTCCTCTTGAGGGAACCCTCAACCCCCTTGCATAATGTTGAAGCTGTGGCACACAGTACTGTGCTTGGTGTCTGATCAGTGTTTGCTGGCAGGATAGGTAAAATAATGAATGGCCAACTTAAGCGTGAACCTTTATCTGCAAACTTCATAGCAAAGTATTTGGATTAATAAGCCAAAATATTAGCATAATACAATATATTATATATCATGGAACATGTATTTAGGGGGCATAAGCCAGCCCAGTATACCAGTCATCTCAAATTTTCCTGTGTGGATTGACTGACATCTGACAGCTGCTTTTAGTCACAGGGGCAAGGGGTGAGTGGAGACAGGCATCTCAGAAGCCGACCACAGTCTGCTGCTCAAGAAAGAGCCGGTAGGTGATAAATGACCCCAGAGCAGTGTCTGGAAAAACTCCATGATGTCCACAGGGATTTTCTCCAGAGTTGGGGGATTCAGGGTCATTTGATTTTCTTTGTGCTGTTAGTATTTTCTAAGGTTTCTACGGTGAACACGTGTGACTTATTAATAGGAGGATGGCGCTCTGGAAGTTTCTTTTGCACACTAACTGGCATAGGCCCAGGAGCAGGGTAGGTGGCCCTGTCTGACCGGACCCTTTGGCACTGTGCAGCAGGTTCTTTACAAGCTGGCCCCTGCTCACCTTTCCATCCTGCCTCATGTACCCTGTCCTTCAGCCACACTGACCTTTTTTTTCTACTTATTTATTTTATGTGGCAAACACTCATAGATATGATACTACAGGTCACTCTTCTAAGCACTTTGCAAATACTAACTCATTTAACTCTCATAACTATCTAATAGTATCCATGAAGTGGATACTATTATTATTCCTATTTTATAGATGAGGCAACCTAGGTCATTCTGGAATATGTGTTTCATCCCATGTGCTGTGCTGTTCATTCCCTCCCTATGGTATTATCGGAATTTCTTTTCTGAAATTATCGTGTAAGTCTTGGTTCCCCTGTGTTCTCTTAGCATCTTTTTTATATTCAGTACTTACTACGTTGGATAATAAAGTTGCTGTGTATGTCTCTCCCACAGGTAAACTTGGGCAAGTGACTTAATTTTTGTTTCTTCCTTCTGTAAGATGTGTCTAATAACACTTATCTCACAGAGGATCTGAGGATTAAATGGCGCAATATTTGGACCATATGCTCAGGAAATGAGCTTTTCCTATAGGGACTTGATATATTCCTTGACACAGTTGCTGGCACAGAACAGGTGTTGTCCTGTGGGAAACTGAGTGGAAGGGGCAGAAGGAAAGCCTGGGTGACCCAAAGTCAAGGCCACTGCGGGAGAAGAGAGTGGAGCACCCCCAAATGCCTCGTTAACAGCTTGAGCAGAAGACAGCTGAGTGAAGGCTGTTGGGCTTGGTCATTGGTGGTGGTTTTGAGAACAGCTTTAGCGGCTGTGACGAGAGGGGAGGCAGATCGCAAGTGGTTAAGGAGGAGTGGGTGGGAAGGAAATGAAGACTGGCGGTGTAATAATCTCTCTTTCAGCAAGGGAAGAACAGAGTTAGGGCAGTAGCAGGGCCAGAAGAAGGTTCTTGCTATGGATGGCAGAGGCCTGAAGGTGTCTATAAGCAGGAGAAGTAAACTCTCAGGCCATGCTCAGAATCCAGGTTGCCCCCTCAGGGACTTGGCTCCATTAATTTTGTCACCTGTTTGCAGCTGGGACATCCAAGGTCTGGGGAGCTTTAGGACCCCAGCTTTCAGTTGGGATCCTTGGGTAACGTGTTTAACCTGTCTGAGCTGCAGTTTCATCATCTGTAAAATGAGAATTTTGTGAGCATGAAAGGAAATGACGTCTGTTAAGTGCCACTGCAGTGTGCTTGGCTGTTGTGTCCTTTTAACCTTCTCATAGAGGCAGAATGACAGAGAAGAAAAAAGGGTAAATCTTAGGGTGCTTTAGACCTGCAGAAGGAAGAAGTTGGGGGTGTGCTCCTGGGACAGCTGTTCTCTTCTCCATGAAGTAGGGGAATGGGAAGGGTTTGTAGCTCTGATGAGACTGGTGGGCTCCATGGAGGCCACCAGGTTCTCTCCACTGAGATATACAGAAGACCTGAGGACAGCAGCGAAGGCCTGGCTAAGCACGAAGAGGACAGTTAGGATTGTTTCGTGACCTTCTGCAGCCAGGCACGCATGAGTCGAAAAAGGTGTGGGTAGAACTGGGGCTGACGGAAATGCCGGGGGTACGGGGATTCGTGTGCTGGGGGGTGGGCGGCAGGGGGAGAGAGGGAGGGTGGGAGGATGCACTGGTGAAATGACAGCCAGACGTCACATGGGAGCTGATGGCCTGGGAGGGTTGGCAGGTCTGAAGGTCACATGGTCACAGTGAGGATGCAGCGCTGGTTACTGGGAGCAGGATAGGGACCCCAAAGATTGTGGCCAGAGGGGAGTTTCAGAGTATTAGATGAAGCAATTTTGAATGACTAGGGCCAGGGGAGGGCTGGGTCACCCCAAATAATCCAATGTTCTTCATCTTCATTTCTCTACTTTTCTTCTGTTCTTTGTCATATGACTATCTACACCCCCTCCTAAAGTAACCTTAGTCTTTATACAGCTTTTTGTGTGGGATGTATCGGTTAATATAATTCAATAAACATTTTTTATTTCTTCATTGTATTTGTAATAATTTTTAATGGATATGGTATATCAAGTTATCTTTGCACATACTACTTTGTATCTTCCGGATTTTTCCCTGGGATAAATTCTCAGATGTGAGATTACTGTGCTCAAGACTGTGAATGATTCGGAGGAGGGAGTCTTGGTATGTCATTAGTTACTTGTTGTAGGGAGATTTGCATTGAGCAGGGAGGAAGGGCAATAGGGAAGGAAAAAAAAAAAAGAAAAAAGAAAATTCAAATATAGACTCTTGAATGGAGGCTTTGTGTGAGCGCCCTGTGTCCATCTCACATCCTCCTGAGTTCTGTGTGCTGGAGTGGAAGATGTAACTGGTGGAGTTTGCATTTGTGATTGAGTGTTTGGTTTGGTCTCTGATGCTTTCTTTTTCGGGGGAGAGGGGGTGGCTGTCATCAAGAAGTTGAAGAATTTGCAGTGTGTGTCTGAGAGGAAGGCACTATCAAAGGGACTCTCTTTCTAAACAGATCTAGAGCTTTTGGAGGAGGGCAAGGACAGCAATTTCATCTTTGGAAATTAAAGGACTTAATTATTTTGATTACAATCCTCATAGTGTTAGTATTTTGAATAATTTTAACAATATAGGGAGACATGATTTAGATAATTATTAAGGAAATTGTAATATTTTGAATCAGTGATTTTTTAAAACAAATATTATTATTAATAACATTTTTTCCTTAACTTATGATTAGAATGGTTCTCCTTTTATTTTTCTTTTAACAGAAAAAGTACAGAAAGGGATTTATTGATGTGTCAAAAATCAGATGTGTGGAAATAGTGAAGAATGATGATGGTGTCATTCCCTGTCAAAATAAATATCCATTTCAGGTGAGCTGGCATATTTTTGCGACAGTGAAATTCTGGGCTTTTAGTCATGCTTACTATTTGACGTTAGTGTTTCCTGTCATTGCTTTGTTGATTGATTTCTTTCAGCTTTGTTGAAGTATAATTGACACATAAGAATTGTATATATTTAAGGTGTACGATTTGATGTTTTGGTATATGTAAACATTGTGAAATGATCGCTACAATCAAGCCAATTAACATATCCATCACTTCACATAGTTGCCATTTTCTTTTCTTCCCTTCTTTTTTTGTTTTTTTTTGGTGGTGAGAATACTTAGCTACCTTCTTAGCAAATTTCGTATATGCAGTGTTGTTAACTGTAGTCCCCATGCTGTACTTTAGATCTCCAGAACTCATTCAACTTGCATAACTGAAACTTTGTACCCTTTGACCAACATCTCCCCATTGCCCCCCTTCACCTGCCCCTGGCAACCACTTTTTTGCTCTGTGTTTCTAAGAGTTTGTTTAAAATTCTATATCTGAGGTCATGTAATATTTCTCTTTCTGTGTCTGGTTTATTTCACTTAGCATAATGTCCTCCAGGTTTATCCATGTTGCAAGTGGATGGATTTTCTTTTTTAAAGCTGAATAATAATTCCTGTGTGTGTGTGTGTGTGTGTGTGTGTGTGTGTATCAATTGTCTTTATTTATTCATCTGTCCGCGGACATCTCCTCATGTTTACCAACCCTGAGGCTCTCAGAACCCGCTCCTTTTTGGGTTTTCATAGAGGCTTCGTTACATGGCATGATTGTTTACATCATCGGCCATTGATGATTGAACTCATTGAACTCAATCTCCAGCTCCTCTCCCCTCCTCAGAGGTGGGGGGTAGTGGGACTGAAAGTTCCAACCCTCTAATCATGGGGTTGGCTTCACTGGCAACCAGCCCCCCATCCCTAGGGGCTCTCCAGTAGTCACCTTATTAGTATAACAAAAGACACCCGTATCATTCTCAGCACAGGAAATTCCAAGAGTTTTCTAGGTGCTCTGTGCCAGGAACCAGGGTAGAGACCAAATATATATTTCTTACTGTGAATCACAGTATCACAGGTATGAAAGTCATGGGCCAAATGAGGCAACTACAGCCCCACGTCCCTCTTAGAGCTTTATCTTTACTTCTTTATCACATCTCATTTTCTGTCTTGTAGTAAGGTATTTGATTTATTTTTGTATCTCATGTAGTCCCAGCAAAGTGCTAGTTGGGTGAGTTAATCACTGAGCAGAATATAGCAGTATTTGTTCTATGGTGTTCCCATTGCTGTTTGACTGCACTTATTTGATTAAAGTGAATGAGAAGGGATTGTCAACAAAAAATTAATCAGTCGATATAAGAAAGAAATGGAAAATTTTATTCAAGCCAAATTTGAGGATTATAACCTGGGAAGAGAATCTCAGAAAGCTCTGAGAACTATTCTGCCCATT